AAAATGCCTGCGCTGTCATGAGCACAAACATCCCCTGCAATTTTAACCAGCTGGATACTGTTTGTATGCATATGTTTAATCATAGTATTGCAAACTACATTCAATATGTTGTTAAATTTATTTAGGGAGCTTTAAAACTGCAGTTTTCCCTGTCTTTTTTTGTGTGTTTTGTTTCCTCTTCTTGACTCCGTTATTTCTTTCCTGTTGCAGGTTGTGGGTTTTTTGTTTTTTTTATTATTTCTTTTTCTTCAGCCTGTTATTTGGTTATTTTCTCTACATCATATGCTGTTTTCTCCTATGTTTTCCTTCTCACTTTTTTCCTTCTCTCGTTTTTCTTTCTCTCTTTCTTTGAGCTGAATTTATTCCTCCATGTTTTTCCTCTCCGTTCTCTGAACACCTGTTCTCATTCTGTCTCCTTCAGACATGCAAGCAGAGCCATTCACGCAGTCTCAATCCTAACGCTGCTCCTTGTGCTGTTCTGCTTCCTCAGTTAAGCCCTTTGAAATGCTAGCGCTTCTGGTCCCTGTTTCGCTCTCTAACGAATACTGGCTTCGAGGCAGGATTTTTCCACGCTTCACTGTTCTGCCTACTCTTGACCAGATTCATCCCACTTAAATTCTGGGTGCCTAATGGAGGTGCCTAATTTACGTGCGTATTTGTCCTTGGCTTCCTCTGTGGTCAGTGGGAAGAGAAAGGTGTCTTCAAAAGGTGCTTTGGACCAGACTGGACTGAATCAAACTCCAGGATATCCCCGGATCTCCAGTGATGGCCAAGGAAGCTTTGGATGACCAAACTCTTAAGCTGGTGTCTCAGATTCTTAATAGTAGATGGGGTGAATCCTTGTTACCTCTGTTCAAAGGCTACAGCCTGTACACGTTTTCAGTTCTTATCTCCTTCTAACATGATGGTTTTTCAGGCTTTTCTGAGGTGTTCACAGTTTTTCCCCCTCAATCATTAATGCATCCCTGCATAGCACTTTGGAAACAGTGCTATACAGTTTAAGAGAATGGAACTCAAGTGCGTAAGTAAAAAAGCCAGCGCACATCTATTCAACATAGTGAGTTCATAAAACAGAAAATTGTCTCTCTCTGCCTGCAGTCCTTGTAAAATTAGTGTTTCATCTGCCCCCATTGCTACTCTTTGACTAGTCAGTGAGTTTTGTCTGCTGAACTGATGAGCTGATCTTTCTGCTGCCACTTTCCTCCCTCTGCTGGAATACAGACGTATTCACGACATAACGGGAAAGTGTTTTGCCAGAATAAGGAGAGTTTACTAAAGACAGCCTGAGGCCCGGACTGTAGAATTAAGTTTTTGAGTGGGAATATATAGGAAAAAAAGAAAAGGTGGTGAAAGAGGGAGGGAAAAAAAACCTAACAAGTTTGAAAGAGCTAAAAACAGCAAGGAAGGTGGTAATCAAAGATGTATGAGATAAAGGTGGTGTATGCTTTATCTGTTTGGCAGGCACTTCAAAAGCAATAACCGCTTCTGAGTAACTTGATGAGTGTCAGCCTTAGAAATTGAAAAGTTGATAATATATTGGCTTATTATAATAATTAGTTAATAAAAGTACTTTTGCCAAATTAAGCCATTTTACTTTTGTGTAATTTAATGGATATACATCAGTAATGAATAAAGAAAAGAATCACATGATGTGTGAACGTTAAATAGATATGTCATGGTAACATCTGCTGCTATTCAAAGGTAAGTGTTGGTGTTTTAGGGTGCTGTATGGATACCCACCACTACACTTGCTTTACGATCTATGTCAAATGAATAAGTCGTAGTGAAATCTTTTGTGAGTTCCATAGGCTCTCTGACAATGGAGAGTTCTTTTTCAAATTGCTGTGGGTTCGGCTTTCTCCAGAGCAAAGGAGCACTATATAAATGAAGAAAAGTTTGTAATATAAACCAGAATATTTGGCATAGAGGTTATAATTCTGTCTGTAACTTGTCCTATGCTGCGGCTGGAGTCTGAGTTGAACTGCAGGTGTTACGTTAGACTCCATTTGTGGAACTAGTTGAATTACCTGTTGAAAGAAACTAGTAATAAAATTTTCTCCTCTCTGGCTTCTGTACCATAAAACAGCTTAGACTCTATTCAGAAACTTAAGATTTGTTGTTCCCTGACTGACATCTTTTCCAGTGATGTTTTTAACTTGAGTGATAAGTAGTTTTTTATATTATAAAATACTACTATTAGACAATGACTGAAAATAATGTCCTCCATTCATCATTTATCTTTAGACTGTGGTCCTGTGAACACTTTCTACTCATGCTCGGGTCTCAGATGACATTCCACTGTTTTGGGAAACTGCAGTACAGTTAAGAACATGTATGACTGAAAGATTAGGGCCAAGCTCAGAAGTTGATAGCCTTTGTTAATCCTGCTACAAATGTCTACAGCAGAAGTCATTATTGCTGTCTTTATCTAAAGCTCATGTTGTTCGCCTTTTTTTTTTTTAGGAATTAAATTAGACTTATGGTAATCGAGAGAGGAAAAAAATACCGCTCAGTATTCTGTGTTAGGTTCGTAGTTTTACAAGATACGTTCTGATTATGACATAAATATATCAGTTGGGTGGAAGACTGAATCTATTTTCATAATCATATCCTATCCTATCCCATCTGACTGCTGTCTAATATACTTACATTTTTGAATCTTCTATATGGATAATTTGGAAAAGGAAGATCTTGTGAGGGAGTTCCACGCGTTCCCAGTTCTATTTCAATGGAAATAGAGTGATGTATACCTAAGCCTGCATGTACACCTTGGCAGCATGGGGATGGGACAGTCTAAACAGTTGACTTGTTTACTATTTTGAATTTTGCTGTCTATTTTTGCAAATGTGTGTGTGTGTGATCTGTAACCGTCTGTGGGTAGCTCTGCTGAAGGCTTGAGCCCCACAGTCCTAAGCTTATGCAGAGGTCATGCTCATATGCCTGCCCACAGCGAAGACTGGACCAGAATTACATACAGCTTTAGCTGCTCACTGAGGGTAAAATACCTGACAGTGGCATTAAGTAGGGACAGAAATCTCTGCAGAGCAGGGCCTGTGAATTTAATTTGACATTGCTACTTGAACATTGGAGAGAAAATCCTGTAATTAAAAAGTCTGGTTTTGGAGTGAGTTTACGTACAAACCTTGATTTTGCAAAACTTAATAACTTTGTTATTAACAGTTTTCAGACACGAAAGTATTTTTACCAATATTTATCCCTTTTAATACTGCTTAATGTCATCCCTAAGTGTAGGCAAGAAAGGATAGTGCCTGAAAGGAAATGTGGAATTACGATCACAAAATATGTGAAAATCAGGTTATGAATATAAGGAAGGCGGTGGGGGGGTGTGGCAGAGGGAGGGAGGTCTCCAAAAATAAAACTGGTGGAAACAGAGTGAAATGGACTTAGTCACATTCTTTGGCCTGGGCAGTGGGAGTCATGTACAAAGCGAAAATTACCCCGCTGCCACGGCCCGAGCGTGAACGTCGCTGGCTGTTCTTCAGGGTTATTTTAAGCCGTTTTTATTAAAATTGCCCGTTAAGGATAGCCGCCTTGTTGCGCGGTGGGTCAGCGCGCTACCGCAGGTAGCTGCCCTAAGAAGAGGGAAGGAGTTGCCGCCCCCCTCTCCCGTTAGCGGGGCCGGGGCTCTCGCTCCGCGGCGGCGGGCAGGAGGCGCAGCGGTTGC